CTACACTACAGCTACAACTTCACTACACTACAACTACAAGTACAACTACACCTACAACTACAACTACAACTGCACTACACCACACTACATCCAGCAGTTGTGGTGAGGTGACCACTGCAACCATTGCAACCACTGCAGAAAACACAACTCCAACCACCTTTCGGTTCATCAGTGGATTCGCTCTGCCATCCGTGAGTCACAACAGCCAACCTCTCCTATAGGTTTCATATTTTTGAAACTTCCGCCGCCGCCTTGCGCGGTACTACCGGTATTGTAATTAGTGTAGTGTAGTGTAATTAAACGTAATTAGCGCAGTGTAGTGTAGTTGGTGTTGTGTAATGTAGCGTAGTATATTTATACTAGTAGTAGTAGTAGTAGTAGTAGTAGTAGTAATAGTAGTAGTAGTAGGAGTAGTAGTAGTAGTAGTAGCAGTAGTAGTAGTAGTAGCAGTAGGAGTAGTAGTAGTGGTGGTGGTAGTGGTAGTGGTAGTGGTAGTGTAGTGGTGATTTTAGTGGCAGTTGCAATTGTAGCTGTCCATCTATCTATCTGTCTACCTGCAAGCTTGAACACGCAGCTATTTTGCGAGACTGTCTCAATTTTTGAACTTGACAACGTCAAAAACGAAACAATTCTGCGAGACTTCCTCACTTTTTGAACTTGACGGCATCAAAAACGAAACAAGTCTGCAAGACTTCCTCATTTTTCGAAGTTGACAACATCAAAAACGAAGCAATTCTGTGAGACTTCCTTCAAAAATGGAAAGTTGAGTGCAGAGCTGGCGGCCCCGTGCCAATGCGTTCTGCGATTTCTCCACTCCACCTGTCTAAAGTACTGCGCCTGCCACGAAAAAGTGAGGCCAGGTCATACGAAGTGCTGCACCTGTCACGCAAAAAATCATCTCAGCAAACCTGAAGATCTGATGCTCCAAAATGCAACCCCTCTCAGGAAATCAGCGCCCTGACCTCCCAACATCTCTGATGAACATGTCTCTTGTACTGCGCCTGCCACGGAAAACGCATCTTTGCAGATCCTCTTCAAATGTCCCACGCCTGCCATCGTTTTTTGGAAATGCCGGAAAACCCTCACGTTTTGCTCACTTTTGACAAGGTCCACAATCCCTTGCGCCTGCCACGCGAAAGCACATCTGAACGTCCAAAAGTGGTTCGAACCCTTGATGTTTTTAACATTTTGACTTCGAAATGTGCTTCGCGCCACAACGGCGTGCGCTTTTTCGACATGTCAACTTCCAAAAGTGGTCTGAGCATGATGTGTTTTGTGCATTTTGACTTCGACATGTGCTTCGCGCCACAACAGCGTGCACTTTTTCGACATCGCAACTGCCAAAAGTGGTCCGACGTTGCTGTGTTTTGTACATTTTGACTTGGAAATGTGCTTCGCGCCACAAAGGCGTGCAATTTTTCGTCTCTCATCTGGCCAGCTGGCTCCGCACCCGCCGCTCGCGCACCTGGATCTTCTTTCTTCTGAGACTTTCTCTTTTTTGATCTTCTTTCTTAGCTCTTCTCTTCTCTTCTCTGACTCTTCCCATATCTGCTTTTCATCTGTCCATATTGTCGGAAGTTTGACTTCTAAATTCCTTCGATGATCTCAGTTCTGTCATACTCATCTGCACGTGTGACAATACAGTAGTGACTTGCGAGGGTTCAAGGGAGGTCGAAATGTTCGAGCAGCTGTTACCAGGTTGAAGCTGCCTATTCCCAACAGGCCGAACCAGTTGTTAGCATCTCAGGGCTTCAACGTGTTTTAGGTCTAGTTGGGATGCACTATGGAGGCACGGTTGCAGTTGCTCGAAAGTAAGAGGTCCAGATTTGGTGACCACACAGCAACTAAGAAACTTGACAAGACTTGGCTGCAAAGCGGGGTTGCTGCCACGCTTTACCTATCTTCCACGTTCTATCATCTTTTACCATTGTCTACCATCTCATCTCCTACCATCTTTTACCTTCCAATTTCCTGGCTGGGAAGCTCACAACTGACAAATCAAAGCCCCAGCCTCTGCATCCGGGAGTAGCAATACACAAGCTTCGGCAGGTGTCCAGATTTGAAGCTTGTGCAGGGCCATACTCCACAAAGTAATGAGGTTGAATGTCCTGACCATGTGCTCCTCTGCATGCTCGACCACTCCCTCCATCCAAATCAAGAAACGGTTCATATCTCTGACATACAGCATTGCTCATATCTACTGTTGCACCAATGCCCTGAGAACGAACCCAAAGACGGCATGACCCGACCGTTGAGTCGTATGCAATTCCCTTGCATGGCTTTCCTACTACATCTCCTTCGGCCTGTTGTACACAAAGATCCTGACAAGCTTGCAGAGATCCAGCCGGAAATTGCACGAAATAGCTGGAGTCTAGATCACTGCCATCATGGCCGCGACAGTCGCGTCCCACGCCTCCATCCACATCCCTAAATGGCTCATAGCTGAGACAAATGGATTCTGCATCTGGATTTGTGGATAGGGTGCCAGATCCCAGCCATACAAAGCAGCCAGTAGAGTTGAAAGCAATTCCTCGGCATGATGGAGTAGACATGCATTTCAGCTTGCAGGCTTGCAGTGACGAAGCTGCCTCGGGACCGTACGAAAGCAAAGACATGCCAGGAGCATGACATGTGCCAAACCCTAGAAATGTACTGCTCAGAGGCCGAAAGGCATTGTTGTCATCCCAAACATCGGCGGGACCTAACCTCAGGCACAAGGACCCGCTACTGTATGCAGAACCTTGAATACCACCTCGGCGAGTCCACACTTCGCAGTAGCCTGCACTATATGTAACTCCCTTGCAGTTTACTGTTCGGACACATAATGACTTGCAATCTTCTAGAGAGGTAGCCTCGCTGGCTCCATAAGCGACGAAGTAACTGCTCCGCTTATCACTTGGATCTGCCCCTCGGCATTCACGATTTGTGCCACCTTCCACAGTCATAAATGGGCGATATTGCAAGCACTGTGATCCTATTGAGGGAGCAACAGCATCTATTCCCTGCGGCCGTGTCCAAACCTCACACCAACCTCGATATTCGATGCCCTTGCAGTGCTGCGTTCGAATGCATAGCTCTTTGCAAGAATCCAATGTAGGGGTTTCACTAGGTGCATAGATGCTGTAGTAACTAGCTTGCGAGTCTCCCGCATGGCTCCCGCGGCACACCCGATCCTCGAAGCCATCAAGTGTTTGGAAGGGCTCATATCGAAAACACGCCCTCCCAATTGAAGCAACTGTTGCTTGGATCCCACCAGCAAGTGTCCAAACTTCACAGGCACCGGAGCGAAACTCAATGCCTTTGCAGGCAGGAGTTCGCATGCAAAGGCTCTGACATGCTTCTACGGATGAGTTTTCAGGCCAGTTCAGATGCACAGTAAAGTGACTGTCCAAGTTGTCAAAAACATCTTGTCCCCGACAAGCTCGGTTGTGACCTCCATCAATCAGAGTGAAAGCTGAAACTGATAAATCATATAGAGGATCGGTCACGCCCAATTTCAAGCAAACGTGCCCTGGAGCAAATTTCGATGCCTGGATTCCCCTCGTTCTGGTCCATAGTTTGCAACCCGGACCTGAGAACGCAACGCCTTTGCACATTGGGTGGAAAAGGCACTGTAGTTTGCAGTCCTCAAGTGTTGATGCTTCTGATTGCAAGAAATGCGCTTCGCGCGTGTCATCCTCATGCGCACCTCTGCAATCCCTATCAACACCTCCATCCACAGATACAAACGGTTGGAAACTGGAGCATCGGCTGCCTGGGCTTGAACGACTCGAGAAGTCGCCAGTGAAAACATGGCAGATTCCATTATTGAAATTTATTCCTGTGCACCTGACAGACTCGTAGCAAAGATCTTGGCAGTCTCTCAAAGAGCCAACTGCGATGCCATCTGGCTGAGATGTGGCTTCGCACAAGCGATCTTGGCTTCCATCAAAGTCTCTGAATGGTTGAAGCTTCAGACACTGAACACCTTCTGTCAAAACTGTCGCCTCGACACCTTCGTTCCGAGTCCAGAGTTGGCATTCAGATGAACTAAACTGTATTGCATTGCAAGCAGAAGTTCTCATGCAAAGGATTTTGCAAGCCTCAAGACTTCCTGCTCGTGCTGGACCAACTGAAGTAAAGTAGCTTGCATCTATGTCACTCGCGTTGCTTCCTCGGCATGCCCTGTTCAAGCCACCGTGGACAGCAACAAATGCATCCAAAAGCTCGTGAGGATCAAAAGAACCAAAGCGTAGACAAAGAGAGCCTTGTCGCAAAACAGTGGATTGGATTGTCCGGGTCCAAACTTTGCATGATGTCTTTGTGTACTCAAGGCCACGGCATCCAGATACTGCGAGGCATCTCTCTTTGCACTCATCAATGGAGGGACCCGAGGTCCACGTATGATTGTAGACCAGGTAGTAGCTTGGCCAACTCTCACCGCCAGGTCCGCTACAGGATCGGCTCATCCCCCCGTCAGCTTCAAAGAAAGGTTCGTACCTCATACATGTCTTACTGCTTGAAGCCACACTTGCCAGAATACTCGTAGTCCAAACCTTGCAGCCCAAAGTACTCCTGTCATACTCAATGCCTGTGCACTCTGGGGTCTGCAAACAGTTCTGTTGACATACCTGTGCCGAAGAAACCTGTGAGTACCAAAAATTCAAATTGGTGTCCGCGGAATTTTGGCCTCTGCAAGAGCGATCTTCAAAGCCATCTATCAAACGAAATGGCGAATATCTGAGGCATGTGAGGGCAGGAGAAATTGCCGTATTTTCAATTCCTTCTGGTCGTGTCCAAACCTGGCAGCCGTAAATGCTGAACTGAATCCCCTGGCATTCTGGTGTTCCCACACACATGGCCTTGCAAGCTGCCAAAGTAGCCACCTCTGATGGATTGTAGCTCACGTAGTAAGCTGGCTGGGTATCTGTTTCGTTTGTTCCTCGGCATGCACGGCCGGCGCCATCAATTGGCTGGAAAGCATCAGCGTTGCTAGCAATCTCCATCACAGGTTGCAGTCCAAGCCTTCACAACAGTTCACACAATTTCACAGCTGCCCACATGCCGCACATCTGACACACACACATACACATATCAAACAAACACAAATACACACACACACACTGCTGAACACACGCGCATCTGACATCTGCAGTAACACCAGGAACACTGCGCATTGTGAAAAAGCAGATTCATCTCAGACCATCAAAACGTGAAATGGTGGCAACCGCTCCACACGCACAAAAATGAAATCAACAGCCGGCCTCAAACATATTGACGAATCCTTGCCAACAGTGGTCTGGACTGGGTGGGACCAAAGCATGCACCTGTAGTTGAAGGTGTCGTGCTCAATGCCTCCAGGGAGTTGGCACGTGGCTTCAAACATCTCTCATGTCAGAAATGCTCCACCAAGAGGCGAGGTTGAAACCATCTGTTGCTCCAATACAGACTTAGATCCGTGAATAGATACATAAATGTTTGCTGGCTATATACATACCAGTAGTACCGCACGAGGCGGTGGCGGAAGTTTCAAAAATAGGAAACCTATAGGAGAGCTTGGTTGTTGTGAATAGACAGGTCGTTGAGGTCTCTTCTCTCTCTCTCTCTTTCTGTCTCTTTCTCTGAAAATCTACCTGCCCGCCCACCTATCTATCTATGTATCCATCTATCTCTCTCTCTCTCTCTTTCTCTCTGTCTGTCTGTCTGTCTGTCTATCTATTTGTCTATCTGTCTGTCTGTCTGTCTATCTATCTACCTATCCATCCATCTATCTATCTACCTATCCATCCATCCATCCATCCATCTATCTATGTCTATCTCTCTCCCTCTCATCTAATTACCTATCTATCTATCTATCTAACTATCTATCTATCTACCTACCTACCTATCTATCTATCTATCTATCCATCCATCCATCCATCCATCCATCCATCCATCTATCTATCTCTATCCAGCTGCAAGCTTGAAAACGAAGCTATTCTGCGAGACTTCCTCAGTTTTTGAACTTGGCAACGTCAAAAACGCAGCAATTCAGCGAGACTTCCTCATTTTTTAAAGTTGACAACATCAAAAACGAAGCAATTCGGCCAGACTTCCTTCAAAAATAGAAAGTTGAGTGCAGAGCTGACGGCCTCGTGCCATTGCGATTTTTCGACTCCACCTGTCTAAACTACTGCGCCTGCCTCGAAAAAGTGCTACCGGGTCATACGAAGTGCTGCGCCTGTCACGCAAAATCATCTCAGCAAACCTGAAGATCTGATGCTCCAAAATGCAACCCCTCTCAGGAAATCAGCGCCCTGACCTCCGAACAGCTCCGATGAAAATGTCTCTTGTACCGCGCCTACTACGGAAAATGCATCTTTGCAGATCCTCTTCAAATGACCCACGCCTGCCATCGTTTTTGGAAATGCCGGAAAACCCTCACGTTTTGCTCACTTTTGACAAGGTCCACAATCCCTTGCGCCTGCCACGCGAAAGCACATCTGAACGTCCAAAAGTGGTCCGAACATGGTGTGTTTTGTACATTTTGACTTCCTTCGCGCCACAACGGGGCGCACTTTTTCCACATCTCAACTTCCAAAAGTGGTCTGAGCATGATGTGTTTTGTACATTTTGACTTCGACATGTGCTTCGCCGCAACGGCGTGCACTTTTTCGACATCGCAACTGCCAAAAGTGGTCCGACGTTGGTGTGTTTTGTACATTTTGACTTGGAAATGTGCTTCGCGCCACAACGGCGTGCATTTTTTATCTCTCATTTGGCCAGCTGGCTCCGCACCCGCCGCTTTAGGGAGCCTACTTTTCGACCCTCCGGAGCCACAAATCATTGGAAAAACACTGTGTTTCGCGACTTTTCTACTTTTTCGTGCACCTGGATCTTCTTTCTTCTGAGACTTTCTCTTTTTTGATCTTCTTTCTTAGTTCTTCTCTTCTCTTCTCCTCTCTTCTCTGACTCTTCCCATCTCTGCTTTTCATCTGTCCATATTGTCGGAAGCTTGACATCTAAACTTTCTTCGATAATTATATATATATAATTATATATATATATATATCTATATCTATAGAAAACTATGATCACATACTGAGAATTCGCAATTTTTCAACCCTTCGAGGGTCCTCGAGAGAAAAACAAATATAATATTCGGGGTAGAATTTTGGATTGCACAAACAGAACCAAAGCAAATACCAAAGCCTGAAAACGGGTGTGAAAACCAGCAGCAGTTTGGACATTTTTTCAAATCCTACCAATTGGAGAATTTAGATTAGGTGAGTAAAATGGAGAGAAGAAAACAGAATATAAGCGGACGCCTGCCAAAAAATGTCCCGGCAAGAGACCCCCCAAACAGTGTGTAGTGAGGATTCTAAAGGGAAAGGTGGAAAGGACCGAAAATCATCAGTGGCTGCAAGCTAGCAGGACAAGAGCGACCCTAGTAATGAAAGAAGCAATACCAGGTAAGATTCTGCAAGTTCCCGTTGTGAAGATGCCTGTAGAAGATCGCGCGCAAGATCTCCTTGACAGGTTCTCTGTAGAAGCTGCTGTGCAAGATCCCTGTGTAAGGCTATCTGCACAAGGTGTCTATAGGAGATCTCCACAGAAGATCTCTGTAAGGGATCTCAAAAAAAGATCTCTGCTCAAACTATCTATAAATGATCTCCAAGCAAGACCTCTGTACAAGATCTCGATACAAGAGCTCTGTTAACAAGATCTCTGTAAGAGACCTCTTGGCAAGATCTCTGTACCTCTTGGCAAGACCTCTGGACAAGATCTCTAAAAGAGGTCTCTTGGCAAGATCTCTGTAAGCGGCCTCTTGGCAAGATCTCAGCAGATCTCTATGCAATGTCTCTGTCCAAGATCTCTTTCTGAAATCTCCTGAGCGGACCAAAAAGGGCGTACTCGATTCATTGGACACTGGCAGCCGGAACAACAGCACCACTGCTGAACCGGCCACTCTGACACGCCGTATATACATCTGAGTGGGTTGCTGCGCCGCAGCATTTTGTTCTCCGTCATGTCGTTGCCGCCAGGTACTTCTCCGTCTTCTGCGTGCTCAATCTCCTACGGCTTCATGAGCTGCGACATACACACACACAAACACACATGCAAACACATCCACGTCACACACAACTTTTTCACATGTCTAACAGCTGACCAACCAGTCATGAGTCACTGCATCGTTGGGTTGTCCATGCGTGTTGTTGATGTCTGACTTACCTGCCTGACCTGCCAGGTACCTCTGCGAAGCTCGTTCTGGCTTTGCTTGAACGACGGCTCCCTTGACGCGTGCGAAGAGGCAACCTTCTGCGTCCGCCAAGAGCCTGCTGCAGACCGTCCACTCTCATGATGGTCTGCGCGGGCTGCTCGGCCACATTGCGCATGGTGCCAAGACCGGCCGTTGCCATTCACCTCTACTAATCTATACTCATGGTGTTGGCATGTCGGTTTTGGCTACACAACATGATCACCCACCACTTATCCACAACACGTGTACATACAAGATTTTACACACAGCACGTTCTTACACTTCTTACACCACACCTTTACGCACACTTCTGTCCCACACAACTCTTTCACACACAATTCCTTGACACACTCTTGCCCACGCAATACTTGTACACGCAACGCTTTTACATCCACTCCTGCCCCATACCGCTCTTTCACCAACAGCACTCTCACACACGACTCTTCCCCGCACACAACTTCTACACACCGCGCCTTTACACACACGCGCACACACTTCTTTCACCAACAACACTTATAACACTTTTACACGGAACTCTTTCACGCACCTCCCTTCGACATGCATTTTTTGCACACGCCGATCCTCACACATCTCTTTTCTCCTTCCTGCCTTTCCCATCCCATCTTCACCTTTCTTTGGCTGCTTCTCGCAAGAAGTTGACATGTGGGGTTATCCGGTCCTTTAATTATGTGGAAATTTGCAGAGAAAATGCCGGACGCCCGGCCGGGACACCCGTTTTGTGCGAGCCTGCGCAGTCGAAATGCACATGGACATGTCACAAGAGCCATTTTATGCGGAAATTTACATACAAGGAACATGCCGGACGCCCCGGATACCATGTCGATGAACCAGCGCCCCTTAACACTTACCGTAAGAACCCCTTCAGTGTGGCCTCACTGTTTGGGGGATAATATGTCAATAACTTTTGGATCAGGATTGTGGAAAGAAATGGGTTTCCCAAATACCCATTTTTGACTACACTTTCTTTCAATTAAAAGAATGCGATTTGAAGTTCACAAAAGGGCCCACCCTATGTGTTGCCAAATTTACGGCAACCATTGACAAACGTACCAGGTTGGTCCATATCCTATGTGTGGGTTTCTGCAGCTGATAACTGATGGCAGCCCAAACAAACATCCAAGAAAAAAGGAAAAGCAAGGGTAGGAAGAGAAGAGAATGCACGCGGACACCCTCAAGAAAAAACAATATGTCAACAACTTTTGGATCAGAGAATTGTGGGAAGAAATGGGTTTCCCAAATTAACACCTTTTGACTACACTTTACCAGAACATTAAAGAAGGCAATTTGAAGTTCACAAAAGGATCCCCCCACAAGTTGCCAAATTTCAGGCAATGAAAAATAAAGGCAGTTGTCACCCCTCCACAGCTATTATTGGTGGTTCCCAGGCACTGAATTAAGGTACAGTCAAAACCCGGGAAAAAACATCTTCGAGAATCGAATTGCACATGTTTTTCAATTGTTGTTTTCATACTCTAAGCATAGTTATCTTTTTCGATTCTGGAAGATGCTTTTTGAGGCCGAAACTATCGATTCCGTATTCTATGTATCCCATCAGGGTTATGTAATTATATTGACTATCATATATAATAACTGTATAGACATCACATGTTTGGGGTTGAAGCAAGGTTGAAATTCACACGTGTTGTTTGAGTCGCCTCTACCTTCTCGGGAAACACTTGGAAAAATGAACGCATGTTCACAATTGTTCACACATGTTCAAAAACCGTGTCAGAAAAAGGGAAGATGGACAACTGACTACTT